GATATACCTGGCAAAATATTTGTGCTAAAATCAGAGGCAGAACAGACATGGGAAGTTCTCCAGATATACAGAAGGCAGAAAAGTCAAGTCCAGATTTTTTTCCTTCCTCTGGAGCAGAGAAAAAGTGAGGCCAACTGAACAAAAAATGAATCATGTCCCACCTCAATGGTAGGTCTTTTCTGCCATAGGAATGTTCCCATACTAACTCATTCCAGATACTGCACAAGTGCCTTTAATCCTCAGCATAAAGTCTGGAATCCAAAGGGTATTTACACCTGCCTAGATAAAAAAAGGAAAGGAACTTTTGAAAAACGAGGGAAAAAGGAAGAGCACAGTAATGATTTTTCATCATTCGGTCCCTTTCAGAAAGCACATTAGGCAATAAAACCAAAATTTGAAAGCATTTTTAATACCAGTTGTATATTAGGAATATTATTTTGTATTTAATACAGAGAATTCCAAGTTGATAGCTTTTAAGGAAACAAACCGTGGTGGTTAAAGATACTGTCCAAATATGTAAGGGGGAGCATTAGACCCTTCATTAGCATTTCCACTGACTCTTTACCTAAGCAACTAGAGCTAGAGTTCCGATTATTAAGCAAGAGCATCTATTCTTAGGAAAAAAAAAGACAAAACAAAACAAACCCAACATGAAAACAATCAGACTGAAGTGGAACTGTGTGTCTCACTAATCTTACTGTACTTGACTAGTGAGAAGATTGAAACTTCATTTGAACTAATCGGGTGAGGAGTGGAAAAGGCTAAAAACGTAAAAGCCCACTGAGCTAGGGGGAGTATTTCTTTGATGCTAAACAGGCATTGTAAAATGAAAAAGTTACAGAATGTTACAATGTTCCTTTGGCTGGAACTCCTCCAGTAACAAGATTAGCAACAAAGTCTCATCTCCCACAATAATTTTCCAAAACAATATCCACTGTTCCCAAATGTATTTCTTTTTAGCTGTTTCAGGAGATACTGTACCTTCAACTCAACAAAGCAAGACAAATATTGCTGTTTTCACTAATACTTGTAAAAAAGTGTGTATTAACAAGATGTACTTATATACCGTTATGTACACTTTGGCATGCAGATATTAAATTCTATGTTAGGTCCATTGGATTCTTAATTCGTCTGGAAGTGACATTACATGAGAAGTAATTTGGAACTGTAGGGTAGCTATTTTTAAAAAATGAAAATTTATCATTTCTCAGCAAAAATGCTGACAGTTAACAAAAACTCCAGAGTGTATCTACAATCCCACTGAGATGAAACAATAGATACCTCAGACTTTTCCCACACTCACAAGCCTCAAAGTAAAAGCATTAGATGGGAAAGTATGTTTATTTATGTACGAGACATATCAACAACCACAGAAAACTACTGGCTCGTACCATTAGTCTGCACTCATGAGTGATTACAGTGTAAAAAATTTCTATTATGGATAAAGTACTATAAAGCTCTGTGTAAAGTCTTCATATATTGAGAACCACCACAACTGTGTAGAAACTAAGGCTTCATTGCAAAAAAATCCACACAGAGAAACAACTGCATTACTTGCTGCTACCAGTCAGGTTCTTCATGACCCTCTATAGAAACCACAAGCAACATTTATACCTGGTAGAATACATGAAAAACCTTTTAATTTTTTCCTAAATTGTACAAACCTGATAATTTTTGTATAAAATAGTTCAGGTTTTAGTAAGATTGTTTTCAATTTAGTATTAAAGTATTTAATAATGCTTTTTCCTACAAGTCTCACAGTTAAGGACAGTGTGATTTTGAGATATAAAAATGTATGAAAAAATTTCTTTCATAGCCTTTTTTTTCCAATATTGCTCTTTATTTATTATGGTTTTTTTCTGCCAATTTTGCTCAAATTTTTACAAGCCTTCCTCTAAATTCTAAACTTCTCATCTCCCTTCTATAACCAAAAAACAGATGATAGCAAAGTGGTGTTTATATTTTTTAAAAAAATAAGCATTAACTGATGGAAAAAGAACGGCTTCCTTGCCCCTTAAGGCTAGAGATTCTTTCCCTGTGTTATAGAACCTACCACAAGTAGTTCTCGCCCAGCTTGGATTCAGCTGAAGTACATGAGTTGAGACACAGCAAGTAGAGCAAATATGACATGCATCCGGGACAATGGTAATACACAGGTGTTAGGAGCAAAAAGCAGATGCAGATCCCTCAGGGACAATGCACCAGACTCAACAAGTGAAAGCTCTGGCTTTTATCAAAAGCATAGTATTACCACAGTGGGAGCCCCAGGACACTGACACTAATCAAAATGGGGACCCGACACAGTGGAGCCCTGCTCAGGGGTGAAGCTCAAAGGAAAGCACTGTAGGGGTGGATAATAAAACTTGTACCGATTAACATATCATACATATGCAATGTCCTGTTTTGCTCATTAGTGAACTCGCTCATATAATGCAGGTGCTGTTGCCCAAATTCTGAGATCAGCAGTCATGGTGGTGCTCATGCAAAGGCTGGGGCAGATGAGGGGGAACCAAACTATCCCAGGTCACCATGACAATAAGACATGCTTAGGACTCTACATATTCAGATGGGAGGAAGTGAACTACCCTGGCTTACCGTAACAAAGTCTTCTTGCACCCTACAATGAGGTCTTCAAATTACAATTTTGGTGAGAGTAGACCAGCATTGTAAGCAAACTGTCCTTTTTGTTTCTCTGATACTGAATCTGTTCCTAATGAATTAAGTCTTTCTGGACAGTGCAGGTCAAGACTGGCATCTAACAACTGCCAACTACCCTAGTTGGTCATTGCCTCAGCTAGAGATTACAGGAACCACAAGCTGCCCCACTGTAGATGGAGTTAGGAGAAAAATACTGAGTCAGACCCTAACTATTGTTCTACAAAAGGACTGATCCCTCCTTACAGACCAGACACACCCTAAATTCTACGTATGCTTTAGGAACAGCATTATAAATTTTAAAGTAAAATTTTCTGTAGTCACTTCTGCACTATTAAACCACATGTTCTACTGCAGAGTTGTAACTAGAAAGCTAAAATAGAGTACCTTAAGAGGTAGGCAATGCTTTTAAATATCCCTCCCTCAACTCTGGATTGATTTGTTTACACATATCTGATTTAGCTGACGCCTCAGCTAAAATAATAGTTAAAATTATTCTCCTAATCTCAAATTATTGAATTCATTTCCATCGTCCAAATATTACATTTCATTACTGAAAAAAAGACTACAACCATATTTTTAAATAAACAGTTATTCAGATTAGGAATTACTAACTAAAAGCAATTCTTAAAATGTCTTACTACAGTTATTTTTCCTGAAGAACTTCTCAAAGTATTACCTCTATCCAAAATACGTTTTTGAGCAAACTATCCTGGTATTATATAATTTTTTTAGAGTAACAGCTTTGATCCCATGAAAAATGTATGCATTCTTTCTGAGCCTCCAAATTCTTCATAACCTAAAATATTAATAACTTCCAGAATGCAAAGTGCACTAAAGGAACAAGAAGTGAAAATGTCATTGGAGAAACTGATTGCTTTCAAAGTGGATCAGGCAATTTCTGAATTAATCTAGACTGTTCTCTGTGAAGGCTTTTGTCATTGGTCTCTGAGAATACCTTCAAGTAGTGTGTAACATTTCATTTCACAGCAGAAGTTCACAGCCTCCGCTGTTTTTGACTTTGATGATATCTTGCAGGTCACTGCAGAAATACCACAGTGCAGTCAAATAATCTGATGAATGGGGGACACTAAAAATGGGAATTGCATTCATTAGTTCTTGTTAGCATCAGCGGATCTTCAGAAAGACTACTATTTTGTAGGACCTTGGAGTCTCAGTCAGTGGTAAGGCAGACACAGCTCTGCTCTATAAATACGGTTCTTTATTTGTGTATTTTTCCTGTGGCATAATGAAAGCAAGGCAGGAGATACACACATGAACCAAAATCTGAACTTACTAAAAAAAAAGTTGTTTTAGCTTGCTCTAAAAGGGCTTTCTCCTATCTTGTTTTTGTTAATTTGTTATATTTGAGTTTTGTTTAACCTATTCTTCCATTGTTTAAAAATGAAGATGGGAAAACAGCAGATTTTATAACAGAAGGCCACCAGACTATTGTAACGAGTGAAAATAATTTTTATTTACAGTGTCAGTTTCTGTAAAGGTTCAAGAGAAATCATCTGGGAAATGCTTGGGGAAAAAACATAGTTAAAAGATAACATATTTAGTTGAAATAATATAAAGGCCACAGTTAAACACAGACATGCCACACTTCTGTAAAGAATAAACTCAAATCTCCCAAACCCAAGCCTTTTCTCAATAAGAAGAAAACCTGACACTCCTTCATCTTCCAAAAGAGCATGTACCAACTGTCTGCTACCACTGTCCTTTGTGGGGAACCTTTCAAGAAAAATTTAATCGTATCATAATAATAGTGACACTAAACCATACTCTTGAGCAGATGAAACTACAGCATGCACCTTGCTAGTCAGTGACTTTGTTAGAAACTGTAGCAGCTGCTAGGAGCAGCTGCATACCCATTGCTCTCTCTCCCTCCCAGGTCCATGATTTTACCAAAGGGATACTAGTATAAAGTTGAAATGCTTCATCTTCATATTAACTACAAAGCATTCTCACTTCATTGTAACATTCGCATTTACCAGCAAGCAGTTAGTTTACCTAAATGCACCCAGACCATGTATTTTCAGGTTCTTGATTTTTCTAAGAAGGAGAGTTCATGATGGCCTCATACACACTGGTAGTGAGGGATAGCCATCCTGACACCAAGTGCGAAGTAACCCATATGCAGTCTCCTTATAATTTAACAGTTCTGGAGTAAAGGAAGTTTCTACAAATGCTTATTGTGAGTTTTACAACTGGCACGATTTTAGTCTAGTTTTTATATAACAGGAGTCCAGAAAAAGACACAGATTTTTTTAATTTAAAGATGGCTACGATTAAATAAAAGCAAAGAAGGATTTTATGAAACCAGTTTTAGGATAGTTTACCTGCTTCTTAATTCCATAATCATCACATGCTTCAGCTTTCATTTTTTCAATCTTTTCTTCTTGCTGTTTTGCTTCTTTTTCATACATAACTTTTTCTTTTGCCAATCTGCAATTAAACCAAGTGATTGTGTTAAGCTGGTTCTGTTACAGTAAAGTTACACCACTGATAACAAAAAAACCCTAAAAGCTGCAGACGGATAAGATAATACAGTTTTATTTAAAAAGGCTCTTAACCATGGCAAAAATCTGCATCTAGGAAATGCTGAATTTAGCTATAATGTATAATGATTCTTATAAGTATAGTTTAAATTAAAAATATTTTTAAAGATTCTCTGTGGGCTTATCCATTTGGAATATCCTAGGAAAGCTATATATTGGTACTTCATTTCAAATACATAACAGAAACAGATAAGCTGCCTTGTAGATCTAGATGGTTGTTAATAAAGACAGTAGTACAGGGAAGAAAGCTATCTATCTATCCATCTCAAAAAAGTCCTCACAGGTGGCCAAACCAAACAATGTTAAGATGGCTGCAAAGACAACATTATCATCAGCATTTGCCAGACTTTCTCAGTATCACCTAGGTTCTGACAGTTTTGTGAGTGACCCACATTGGCTGTTAGGCTCGTGTGGCCTTTCCTCTTTCCTATTCACTGCTAAGTAACACCACTGCACCTGCGTTTTTGATGAATAATGATGGACATCCTTCTAAGTAGTAACTTTTTTCAAAGTTATCACATGTAAATGAAAAGAAACAGCAGTTTCAGGTTCACAAACTATGATCCCAGAACATTCTTTTCCTGATCACTGCCATTTCATTTCCCATACTAGTTTTTGTACAAAGTAATGAAAAGTAAAATTCCCAAATAACACAGTAGCTGCATAGTTCCTTAGAGTATTTCCTCCATTTACCTTGATGCTGGTTAGGGGGTTATAGACAGAAGTAGCAGTTCCATAATTTACATTATAGCAATTTTCATTATGGCCTGTCTTTCAAAGGGAAAAGAATCCATTTTTTAATTCTGACAACAGACCCATACTTGGGAGCAGGATGTTTTTTTGCTAACAAGCAGTTTCAAGAGTAACGTAAAAAAAACTTTGAATATTAAGGTAGTCCAGTCTCATGCCCTAGAGTGATTTTTTCCATTGCAATCCCATTATCGAACTTAATATTTGTTGTTACATCTACCACTTTGTTACGTATGTTCATTAGGTATATGTTGGACTACATAATGCTAGATCTGGACCAAAACATCCTTCAGGATCTGAAGAATGATTGGGTAATTTCTTATCAGCTAATTCAAGACTGAAACAAACACTGAGATGCAACTGCAAACCTGAGGGAGTGCCAAAGAAAAGAATAAGCAACACATCACCCTATATAAGAGAAGATTGTTTAAAGAGAACTTAACAGCCAAAAGAACGTAATCAGATCCAAGAAGCAAATGAAAAGAGAATAAATAAAGGTCTTGTAGAGAGTTTCATGGTCACGTTAGCACATCAGAGCAAATTAATTCCTAATTTGTCACAGTTAAGTGCCCTACTAGAAGTGCTGCTGAGGATGGACAGAACGCTACTGAGGTGACAAGAACCTTTTGCGAACTGAAGCTGCCACAAAAGCACCGCTGCAGTAACACCTTGAGAAAAATTCCAAAGTGAATATACTGATACTGCAACAGTGGGAACTCTCCCAGCTTTTGTTAAGAGTTTGCATCATCAAAAGTTGTTTTGGTAAAACAGCCTTAGGCTGTGGCTCTACAACAGTTGATCTAAGCTGGGCTGTGGTGTCATTCAACCCCCATGGAATGACACCACCAGAGAGGGCCTTCAACCTTATGAAGAAGCTTTAGCAGCATGTACAGCGTGTAGTGTAGGTATGATCTAGGCCAGTTTCTACAAGTCAGCCAAGTACTAGTACTAGTAGTCAGCCAAGTACTACCAAGTACTACTGGGGAAAGACAGCAGCCTAATTACTAATAGTAAAGACACTAAATCAGTGGCTGTAATTCCAACTGCTGGAACTATCTCAGGTATTAGCATCAGCAAATACTAATTTAATAGGGGATGAGTTAATAGTTTGATCAAGGTTACTTGATTTAATTCCAGACAGTATTATTTGCTTCGCTATTTTTAGGTTCCAAAAAAGTTAATTTTAATCAACCTGTGAGACAGGTGATTTTTTTTTGTTGTTTTTTGAATAAGCACAGCAAATTCCCTTGAGGAGCAGGGGAAAAGAAATATGATTAAAAGCAGTTTTTATGTTGATTCACTTACTGAAGCATGTATGCCATTGAACTAAAGGCAACTTGCATCGCAAAACCCAGCATTTTTAATTATTTTATTTTTTGGCTAAAACGAAAGGCAGAATGTTTGTCAATGCTTATGTTTACACATTACATTTTCACATTTATATCTCCCTTTACGCCCACAAACTTTTAAAACTGCTATTCAAATTTGCTTACTTTTATCAAACAGGAAAGGACTGCATGTTCCAGCCTAGTTTAGAATTAAATTTAATGCGATTTTTTGTGCACCTTTCTCATATCTGGATACTTAATTGCATCCATATTTATCTACCTATTTCTATTTCTGTACTAATTGTACATTTCAGAAGCAGAACTTGAAATCTTCAAAGGAAACATATGAAACCTCAAATATGAGACTGTTGTCTGTGACAAATTTTCATTTGCACTTTGTTCAGTAGTCAGAATTGTTCAATTGTTCAATTTAATGTTCAACTTATTTTCATAAGATTGGGATGCTGATGTTTAATGCTATTAAGAAGTTTTTATTTGAAAACATTTCCTGTACTAGATCCTTCCTCTAGATGTCATGAAGCCATTTCTACTGAATATGTAGCTCGGGGAGATGCTAAATTAAATTAAGAACTTGCTTTCAAAAGGAAAATGAAATTTCATAATGGAGCTTTAATCACTTTAATCACCTCTTAAAAATTTCAGTAGAATTCTACACAAAAATACGCACGTGATACTTGGGTCCCTTCTTCCTTTACCCTTTATCTGTCTAGAAACAAGATCCTGGGTTTGTTTTCTGGGGTGGGTTTTTTTTGTTTGTTTGTTTGTTTGGTTGGTTGGTTGGTTTGGTTTGTTTGTTGGGGGGTGTGTGGGTGGGTGGGTTTGGTGGGTTTTTTTCCTTCTTCTTCCCCAAAAGATTAAAATGTATACTAAACCAGAATCTTTTTATATGGTGTGATCATACACAGTGAACAGAGCAAATAGCTCAGTAGGTACCAGAAAAAGCCAGATCGTAATTTGTTGCATTTCAACTACCCAGGTCATTTATAGATGAAAAAACCTGCAATGATAAAAACCACTACAGGCATAACTTTAGCGATGTTTTACAGGGTCATAAGAAATACAAGCTACAGTAACTTTAACTAGAAGAATCCTGAATGAAAAAAAGAAGGAATCAAGCTAGATTACTTCTTATCTTAGTTATACTTGCATACTACACATATATACACATTAATTGTATATTGCACATATATACCTGTATATGTGTAATAAGCCTTTATTCTACAATAGATCCTTAAAATTTCCTCTTGTTTTTAAACAATCACCTGGTACCCATCTCATACCCTATGGTTAGCCTTATTTTAGCTACAAAATGTCCTGCATACTATAATAGCTCTGCAAATAAACCAAACATTTACTACCAAAAAGTTCTATACATTGTAAGGCACACTGTGTTAAGAAATAGTCAACTCTATGACCAGTTCTCTCAAAGTTAGGTATCTAAATCTCCGTTTTAGGAGTCGTTCTTTTTTTTTTTTGCCTTCTCTTTGGTAAAAGCAATCCTGGTTTTAGTAGTCTTCTATAAAGAGAACTTGGATGAACACCAATAGAAGAGAAGGGTACTCACCCTTTTTAAAAGAAAAATCTTAACTCTGGTCACAAAATAGAAATTTCAGTCTTTTGTGCACTCAAAAGTAAAAAAATGGTATACATTACAACAGGTATCCTCTCAGCTACCTTAAAATGCTTTTGCATTTTTCAAATTCTTCTGAAGTGCAACTATGACATACGATAAATAAGTGGAAATGAAGTCACCAGATATACTGCTTTCAGTATAAGACAACTTTAGTTGAAACAAGCATGATTTAAAGTATAACACACAAACAAAATGTAAAGGCCAGTTACAATTAAGCAATAACAGCATATTAGTAAGATGACTGGGTACTCTATATTACCAGAATGCATTAATTTTGGTATACACCAAGTTCAGGGTGAATATTTCATTCAGAAGAGCCTCTACAAAGCTCCATAAAGCGTATTATAGTGCAAAGGTATCACATTGATCCGTGCTGAACTGACCTCGAAAACAACTACAGCTTTGGTTCAACACTTCAAAAAATTCCTTGTCTCCCCTCAAACTCATGACATTCATTCTTTACAATGTATCACTTGGATAGAGCCGGATATTGAGATGTATTTTGTACAGATGAAAACTGAAATAAGACTTCATGTAGTTGAAAACAAGGTTACCGTTAGCTTTTTAACTTGCAATATTTCACAGAAGCCTGACATTGTGTGTGTACACTTCTTGAATTTTTGGTGGAGATTTTTACATTGTGTGTCACAGTCACTGTATCAGCCAAGAATGTTTCCATCCTAATTTGCTGTGTACAAAGTTTGTTTGTACAAAAATATAAAGCCTTGCCAGAGTAATGGATGGGAGTACGAAAATAAACATTTGTTTTGCTCTTTCACCATGTCCCCAAACCTTTGACCCAAAACCATTTTTATCCCATAAACTGGTTTGTCAATGATATGCAGTTAGTCCAATAAGAGGTATTACCAGAGACTCGGCTCTGCCTTTTCTCTTTGTAGAAGGGTGATGTCAAATATGCTCCAATTTCTGTCTCCATGCCTGTGACAGCTCTAAACTACAGCCAGTTTTATTTTTATACCAACACTATAAATCCAG